GTGCTAATCTGGAAAGTCATAAGTCCCTGATTCATAGGGATCTACTTGTACAGATGGTTATGTGTGTCTTTCAAGTACCATTTGTAGAATATATCTTCAAGAATTCTAATTTATTTATTAGAATATTATGCTGTATCATCTTTATAAACAACCTAATAGCCATGTAAAGGCATTAAACATACCCATGAAGTCAAGTAAAAGTCACAACCATATGTTATGTACATGGTGTTAAAGTGTGATTTGTCACTATAATTAGGACTATTTAGCAAACACCCTTAGCTGGCTAAAAGCTAACATGATATCTACTCTAAGCTATAATAACACTTAGCTTTTTTATTTATTATTTTTATTTTATGTGCATGCGTGTATTGCCTACATGTAGGTAAGTGCACCTGTGTCATGCAACGCCCATCAAGGACAGAAGAGGCTGTCGGATCCCCTGGAACCAGGGTTATGGACAGTTGTTGGCTGCCATGCAGGTGTGGGATTTGAACCCAGGTCTTCTGCAAGACTAACCAGTGTTCTTAACTTCTAAGCCATCCCTCCAGCCCCAACACTTAGCTTTTATCTATCACTAATACTATGTATAAGACTGTGCTTCCTAATCCCACCTCAGATGGTCTTTTTGTCTGATTTAATGACCAGGAATTCTAATGTTCAAGTGGTAAATAATCACACCTTTCCACCACCACCCAGCAGACTTTTCTGTAAGCTTGTAACACTAATTAGTATTGAGTTTCTGACTCCTAATCCAGTGCTCTTTTTACTATTTCAAAAAACTGTTATAGGAAATTAAGAAGAAATTCTGAGTGAGAAAAAATACCTTTTGACAAACATGAGTGAAACATAACTCTGATGTATTAAATAAGCTCAATATTTAAATTATGTTTTATTAAAAAATAAGAAGGGAAACCAAGGCTGAAAAGTGGTCAGTCACCTAAGGTACAGCCATCATGCAGATCAATCCAGTTATAATCCATTTTAAGAGCCTATTCCAATGATGTTTTTATATTTCATATTGAACTAGTCAATATTAATTTACTATTCAATATTCAAGTTAGTAGACAGTTTAAACCATTTTTTTTTGATCTACAGAGATATCTGTTATAATGAATTTTGGCCAAAGAACAAAAACTTAAAGCAAGAAATGAAACTTTCCTTAACAGCCTGTATCATCCATTGGACCTCTTCTCTTCTTCCTTGTACAAAGTAATAAAGACTAGAATTCTTGTTTCAATTATATTTTATATTGGAAAGTTTAAATAGTTCATCTCATTGTTAAAGATAACAGCTTCTTCAATATTTCTATATATTTAAGAGTAAAATCCTATTAGAGAAATAGATAATAAAACTTTGTGCCTGGCACAGTAGTGCACGCCTTTTCCCAGAACTTTGGAGGCAGAGGCCAGTGGACCTCTGTGAGTTCAAGACCAGCCTAGTCTACATAGGGAGGTCTAGGCCAGCTGGAGCTACAGGGAGACCCTGTCTCAAAAAAAGACAAAAAGAAAACCCTTTGTTTACATTCAAGTTCCAAAATATGTAGACTAGAAGACTGAGTTTCATAATACTTTAAACATAAATGGTCCTTAATGGTTAAGGAATTAAGTAGTATTATTCTAACCAACTCATTTGCCAGAGTATAATGAATCTACAAATCCTAGGGATGACAGATAGAGTTTCTCTGGCCTTTTGTCAGTATTAAGCATTAAGAATAAAAGTGTTATATAGTTACAGAACTTGAATTCTTGTACAAGAGAATGCATAATTTTTTTAAAAATTAAAAATAGGTTGAGAAGCTGGTGAGACTGCCCAGTGGGTAAAGCACTTGCCACCAAGCCTGACAACCTTGAGTTCAATCCCCAGGACCCATATGGCAGAAGGAGAGAACCAGCTCCTGTATCATCAATAGAATCTCAAACTGTCCTCTAACCTCCATACATGCACAGTGGTACATGTACACATCCACACATATGAATACAATAATATAAAAACAAACAAAGAATAGGTTGGAATGGTTACTTCTCAAATGGTTGTTCTTATTTGTGGTTCCTACTAAAGTTAAAATAGTTTAAAAATTAAACATTTAAATATTTTTAAAAGTCGACTGTCAGCCAAGTTTGGTGGGGCGTGCCTTTAAATCCCTGCATATGGGATGCAGAGGCAGACATATCTCTGTGAGTTCAAGGCCAGCCTAGTCTACATAATGAGTTCCAGGCCAGCTGGGGCTACAAGGAGACCTTGTCTCAAAACCCGAACCAAACCAAACCAAAATCTATTGTCATGGAAAAGCATCAATCTATATGGCTATAAATACATGGACTTTTACTTTTTTAACATTTTTATTTATTATTTTATGTGTACATGTATTGCCTGCATGTAGGTAAGTGTACCTGTGTCATGCAATACCCATGGAGGACAGAAGAGACTGTCTGATCCCCTGGAACTGGAGCTATGGACAGTTGTTAGCTGCCATGTGCATGCTGGTATTTGAACCGGGGTCTTCTGCAAGAACAGTCAGTGTTCTTAACCGCTGAGCCCCCAAATACATGGATTTTTATACTGAACCTAGAAAAGATATCTATGATGGCGATGGCAGGCATTTTCTTACTTTTTTTTTTTTTAGATGCTAATCTATTTCATTCTAGCAGCATCGCTTTCAGGAAGATCCTATCATTATCTTCATTTTGCAAATAAGGAAGCCAAGACACGTAGCCAGGAAGAGGCAAAGCTAGAGTTCAGCTCAATCAGTCTGATTCTGGAATTTGTATGCGTGGATGGCCTGGAATGGTTTACTCTTTGAAAAGTTATCAGTTTTGTTGAATTTGTTTGTGACTTGTTCTGTTATTGGAAGTTTTAAAAGTTTATTTCAATTCAACAATTTCATTATGAAGCACTTTATTTGCCTATCATAGCTCACTGTTGTTTATGGTTTTTCTGTAAACACTGAACTTTGCAGAGTGCTTTTACCCATTTTTTAAAAAATGGGCAAACATTTTATTTATTATTTTTACTTTATGTGTATGAGTGTGCTGCCTGCATGTTGGTAAATGCACCTGTGTGGTGTAATGCCCACGGAGGTCAGAAGAAGGCATCAGATATCTTGGAACTGGAGTTACAGACAGTTGTTAGCTGCCATGTGGGTGCTGGGAACTGAACCCAGGTCTTCTGCAAGAGCAGTCAGTGTTCTTAATCACTGAGCCATCTCTCCATGCCTTCACCCCCACCGCCCACTGAGGTTTTTACAATGGGAAAAATGGTTATGCATAAGCCGTGTGTACACACTCATTGTCCAGTTGCTGTACATAATATATATAGCAATGAAAAATTACACACAGAACAAGGACTGCAGTGGATGAGTTTTTCCTCATGTTCAGATGCAATTCAACAGATTCACCTTACCAGTTTTACAGCCTGAGTCTCTCCTGCCCACGCAGTCTTTTCAAACCCACTCTAACAGCCACTGTTAAGACTCAGCTCATCATGTTACCACACAGCCTCGAATTCACACAATCTACCATGTGAGGGTAGCGCAGGGTGTGTAGGGCAGGGAGGGTACTGACAGAGTGCCTCCATGCTTTATGCTGCACTGGCCCTTGAGTTGTCTTAAGTAAACACATATAAAATCTACTTTTTACAAATGCCTTACTCCTCGTTTGAAATTAAGCTGCCATCTCAGTTCCTTACATAGTAACATAGGAAAAAACAGCACTGGCCTTCACCCATACTACACCAATTGTCTTCAGAAAACATCCTACAATAGCATATAAAGCACTTTATGACTTGCCTTTGTTACCTCCCTCGCCTCTACTTACCCTTGCTCTCCCAAGCTACATAGTAAATAACTGGATTTTCTGACTGATGTTGCTTTCTCTGGCCCTCACATTTTGCCCGTGCTACTTCATATATAGAAATATCCTCCTTTTTTGGTAACCCAGCTAGCTGCTGCTCGTGGTTTGAGATCCAGCTCAATCACCATCTCTTCTGTGGTCACTTAAATACCAGTAACCTTGCTCCCTTCCAAGATTTCTTTCCCTAAAGAAAAAACTAGGATCATCTGGATTCCTGGTATAACCAAGGCACAAATACTTTCAGTCTAGTCACATTGTTATGAGCTCCTCACACAGTCCTTTCTCCATCTCATCCTTGCTGAAAAGAAATCAACTTCCTTTTGCTTATCATCGTAGCCTCACTGCTTAACACAATACCTGGCACTCAATCACTACTCAGAGAATGTTTAATGAGCTAGAATTAAATCTCAGTCCACTGTACTAGTAGAGATATGTGCAGCAATGAAAATGTAAGTAATGGTGATAATCAGACTCACTGAAAGAAAACATTTGACTACTGTGGGTTTTGTAATAAAATTAAAATATTAAATTTATAGTACAGGCACATAATGAAATTTTGAACTTTTATGTTTCATTGGCTTAAATGCTTAAAATCAAAATACTTTTAAAATCACTATACTTAAAAAAAGTATAGTGGTTATAACTTATAAATCAGTTTGGCACATGCTGTATCAGTTCTGTTTATTATGTTCTTGTTAAACTGAATATCTTTTCTTCTTAACTACAATTACTCTAGAGTTGTTCATTTTCATTTTTCCAAAGGAACAGCCACATGGAATTAAAAGCACTTCATTTTCATTAAGATAGATGTTCTATTCTGTCTGATTTGGGGCACTTTCTTTCTAAGTCTTCCAGGCACTTATGAACATTATGATTTGCAGATGTGCATTAGAGAATAAGAAGATACATGAAATATTAGTGACAATTATATGCTGGGGAAGGAGACTGGACAATGTTTCCAAGGGCTGTAAGGACTATGGTAATGAATGTTATTCAAAGTAGAGTGATGACTCATAACCGATTTCCATCTTCAAATTAGGGTCCAAATAAAAGACAATGAAATTGAGCAAAGCATGGTGATGTACCATTTCCTGCAGCAGAGACACCCCTCAGACCAGTGCCCTCACAACAGACAGTACAAGAAGCAGCAACCTGAGGGGAGTCCACAGGCTCGCAGGGCTACTGGCTGGCTCTTTGTCACCAAATGCAGGAGGTTGAATGCAGACATCACTGGGATATCTTCAGCAACAGAACGAGAGGCAAAGAACAGGGGCAAGAGCTGAGTAGGAGAGAAAAGAAAACAAAAAAAAAACAATAAATTAAAACATCACAAGTGTTAAACACATTAATGAACAATTGACGGTTATGGTTTATCTGGAGGAATGCATGCACAGTGCTAACAAATTTCAAATACCTATATTTTTCAGGCAGTGGATTTACTTTCACTGCTATCATTTCATTCTTACAGTTCATCTAGGAGGCAGGTTTTATTCCCAATACATATGTGAGAAAAAACCTGGGCTCAAAGATCAAAGCAATTGCCCAGTAGAAGGTTGAGCAAACTGTCCTGTCGGACTGCGAAGCCATTCTTCCCCTGCATGCTGCCTGTCCCCAGCAATCATATGCACACCTCCCTCCTGCAGAACAGTGAAAGATTAAGAGACTTATTTTTTTTAAGTTTTGTTGTTCCGAGCATCAAAAAACTTAAGGATGACTAAGAGACTCCACTGTAGAAACTGTTACATTTGAATGAAGCATAGGAAACATGAGTTTCCATTCAATCTTATGATTTATACTTTCTAAATAAAATTCTGTAACTAGTACTCATGACCTAGCATTGAAAGGGGTAAAAGCGTTTTTCTGAAGTTTTGGAAATGAATCATGTGAAAGAATATCAGAACTGTATGAATGTTAAACTTTAGATGAAAGTTCAGGCCTTAGGATTTTCATAAATGTTTTGCACACAATTGCAATTGGTAAAGATTACTTCAAACGAAAATGGAAATTACTCCATTATCAATTTCTTGTGTTTTATTTTATATTACCATGTTAAGTAACTTTAACTGCCAAATGTCGAAAAAATGAATATAAAGTTAATGTCTTACTCGTTTCCTGACCACCACCTCCATCCCCAAAATAAGTCTTTTCCTGCACCCTTCTGACCTCCTTGAAGAGCAAACACATAATAAACAGTAATATATTTTACCAAATAACTCTGGAGTATATCTGATGGAAATCTGCTTGTATTAACATGCCTGAACTCTGTGACTTTTCCAAACTAAACTCACTACAAAACTAAAACATTTTTGTGTTACTAACTGGAGACAAAGGGGAGGAAGAGGAAAGGTAAGCATCACAATGCACAGCCTGAGAGAACCACTAAACATAAATAAACATGTCATTTTCACGAGTGACTGCAGGGCAGGGGAAAGAGCATGCCTTTGGAGCAGACTACTGACTAATAAAAGATCAAAGGTCTATACCTCACAACATTATAAATAAAAAACGTGTTTTTTTCTCGATACTCTTCCTCGTGAGGAATAAAGTGTGTGCGGTAAATGTAATGACTTAGCAAAGCTGCGGCCCACATTGTGCTCCCGCAGCTGACCATAAAACATCTTCCTATTCTATTTCATCAATTGCTGTACCAGGCAGCCTGGGCGCCTATGGATCACTGTGGCCATCTGGCTTGTGTCAAAGCCAGCGCACAGGAAGAAAGGCGGTGACGTCACTCTGCAGGTCAGGCAAAGAACAAAGATGCTTTCTGCAATTAAAAGCTGAGGGCCGCAAATACCAGGGGCTACCCAGCATGATATGACTGGATGATTTAATATTCCCACCACACTGCCTTTTTGTCTACCCAGATAGTCAGAGCTCCATCTAGTGGCAAATTGGTTTTGCCCAGTTTGGGGTGGGTTGTTTTGTTGTGCTGCTTTTTAAAGCTGACCCTGAAAATACTACATTAGCACCAACACAGTGGAGCAACTAAAGGGATTGCTTTCCGAGTTATCTAACTTTTTCATACTGAGTAATGAAAAGAATGCAACCTGCCACATTGTGTTCCATTTTCAAATCTCAGGAACAATGCATTTATAGATTGGAAGTTGGCAGGACCCTAACTACATTAATGCTCACAAGAATGGTAGAAAAGGCATTGTAAGTTAGCAGCACACATGTAAAGTGTACACCACCCTGAAAATATGCAGTTATCGAGTGAAAGACTGTTCTAAAGAATGTGTGTGTGTGTGTGTGTGTGTGTGTGTGTGTGTGTGTGTGTAAGCTCTGTTTAGATCAAACCCACAGTGTTCTACTCCGCAAAACAAGAGAGCCCTAGTGGTTCTAGTAAATGAAGTCAGGAGCAATTTTTCTCTAGAACAGAAAGAACAATATTTTGTGCTCAAATGTTGGAGAGGGGGAGAGGGACGGGTGTTTTGGTGTTGCTTGACCGGTTTGATTTGTTTGGGAACTTCATTTTTGAGACAGCGCTCAGGCTGGCCTCAAACTCGTGATCTTCCACCATGAGCCTCCCAAGTGCTAGGATTACAGCTGTGTACTAACATACACAGCTCTATGCTGAAATGTTTAAACAAAATTATTTTTATCTATTTTTCCACCTGTTATATTTGCAGTAAATAAAGCAAAACACTGAGAAACAGATGTAAAATACATAATAATTTTCATGAAAGATGCAATATCAATATAGTTGTGTGTTAGCTATGGAGCCAGACTGCCTGGATTGGCATCCTGTGCCCAAAGCTACTTGTATGACCTTGGAAAAGTCACATTCTTCCCAGTATCTTACTTTCCTCGACTCTAAAATAATCATTAAATAAATTAATTGGCTTAAAAAAAAACACCTCTAAGACTTCCTGGCACACAGGCGTGCAGGAAAAGTTAGCTGCTAATATTATTTAAACATATCAGGTATTTGCTATATTTAAAATCGTATCAGTCAGAAAATGTTAATAATCCATCTATTCTCAACCCTATTTTGAGAGAGCAAACCATTTTCCAAAGACTCCTATGTAGGCCAGAGAACTTGCCACCCTTTCTTCTCCAATGTCATCCTAAAGTAAACAGCAGGATAAAGACGTCCTAGAGGCAGCACTAGCTGAGTGTCGGTGTGCTCCCAGACCCTTCTCAGCACTTCACTTCTATTGGCCATTTTCCTTCTCACAACACTATGAGGCACATGCTAACATTTCCCCCTTTCAGATAGAGCCTCAGACTTAGGGAAGGTAAATAATTTTGCCTCTTGTCCTACAGTTGGAAAGGACCTAGACTCTAAGTGTTTGGGAAATGGGTCTATTTGCAGTTGGACCAGGCCATGCAGCTCTACCACCAGTGCTCTTGCCGCTGACAAGATGAGTAATGGAAAGCCTCTAGTTGTGCCACCTGTTCTCCACACTCCTCCTTCCCTGCTGGACAGGATGGATGACAGTAAACAAGGAAGAAAGAAACATCATTCACAGTCACTTGAAAATCTCCTTTGACAAGGAGAGAAACAAACAAAAGATTAAAGGGCTAAAGTCCCAAAAGTCCAAGACATCCTCAGATTTTTGCAATTGATCTTTCTTTTTTTTTTTTTTTTTTTTTTTGGTCTCCCTGTAGCCCCAGCTGGCTTGAACTCACAGAGTCCACCTGCCTCTGCCTCCCGGGATCAAAGGCATGTGGCACCACACCTGGAATTGCAATTCATCTTTCTATTCCACCAAACATAGAGTTAAATTCTCTTTTACATTTAAAAATTTTTTCTTTCAACTTCTTGGACATACTTTTAGGATGTATCTTTAGGATCCATCAAACTGGCTACTCTTTAACCCACTGAAACTTAAATATGTTGATAATCTGATACCTTTGAAGATCAAACCAACACATCACTTCTCACTCCAAAGTCTAGCTTTCAATTTGGCAGCTTTCTTCCTGTTATTGTCCTTGCACAGATGGACCCAATAAAGACGGTAGCCAGAAACAACCCTCATGAAAGAGAAGCAGAGGAGGCACACGTACCTGAAAGGTGGCCATCTATAGGGAAAGAACCATGGAACACAGGCATTGCATAGGAGCCACTGAAAGTCCGTAATTCTGTGTTTCTCCCCAGCTCCCTCAGTTTTATATTGCCTTTGGCTCAGATCATTATGTAGACACACATAACAGTCGGACATAATCCACCTTATTTGTTTGAAAGCCAGACAAGCTACCTCACCTATCTTTCTTATCTCCCAAGGTATCTGATACCTAAGTTTGAACAGTGGGTACTAAAATTCTGGTTGAACAGGTGCACCACACTGTGTGTTGAGAGTAGTATTAAATTACATAATCTTTTTTTTTTTTTTGGAAATTTTGCAAAATTACTAGTTTACTTTTTAACTTGAAAGCTTGAGCACATTTACAGAAAAATGACATTTTAGTGAAAAATAACTATATTAGCTAAAACATTTATATATATATTATATACATGGAAGTTTTACATTTTTCAAATTTGTTTATCTGCTTTAACAAAGCACAACTGGATTCTCATTGTATCTCTGCAATAAATATATTGAAATATACTTTGTTAAAAATCTGTGTGGTTTTTAAAATTTTACTTATTTTTATTTTATGTGTATGATGTTTTGAATGCATGTATGTAAGCACATCATCTGCATGCTTGGTGCTCACAGAAGCCAGTCTTTCAGTAGTTAAGGACAGGTGTAAGCTGTCATGTGGGTGCCAGAAACTGAACATGGGTCCTCCGCAAGAGCAGCCAGTACTGTTAACTGCTGAACCATCTCTCCAGCCCTGACGTACAGAATTTAAGAAAATCTATGGACACAAGATAAACAGTGGAAAGGGTGGAGTATTCTATTAATCTCTTTGGATAATCACAGCTATTGCCACTTCATTATCATGCCAAAGATCAACGGTGATAGTCTGAAACAGTATCAGCAAGCTTCTCATACTACCTGTTTTTCTATCAAAACAAGTAGTCCACACCTTGAGCACTGCTGGTCTGGTTCATTGCTTGACACAGAGCAAGAACAGGAAAGGTTTAATAATGTTTGTTGAATGCATAGAAAATAAAGGGAGGGACACAGTAATAATCTATTTCATTAATTACACAATATTTAGGATGAAAGAAACAGCTAAAGAATTTCATCAGTGGTCTTTAAATGCCACACCACTTTTATAGGCCATTAATGTATCTCTTATTCTATCTAGCCACTGGACAAGTCTGTCTTGCACTTTAAAAAAGAATTATTTTACCTTATTTGGGGCTGGAGAGATGGCTCAGTGGTT